TTGGTCACACGTGGGTGGGTAACGTTCTCCTAAATTTTCAGCTTCCTAGCTTTTGTGGTTCCCGAGTTGAAAGTTGCGGACAGTCACACGTGGGTGGGGAACATTACCCTAAATTTTCAGCTTCCTAGCTTTTGTGGTTCTCGAGTTGAAAGTTGCGGACACCCCTTAAATTTTCAGCTTCCTAGCTTTTGTGGTTCCCGAGTTGAAAGTTGCGGACAAGTTGCTGCGTTAAATTTTCAGCTTCATAGCTTTTGTGGTTCCCGAGTTGAAAGTTGCGGACAAGTTGCTGCGGGAAACGTTACCCTAAATTTCCAGCTTCCTAGCTTTTGTGGTTCCCGAGTTGAAAGTTGCGGACAAGTTGCTGCGGACACAAACACACACAAACACACACACAGACAACCCCGTAACAATATGCGTTTTGTACTGCTGTTACACAGCACAAAACGTATAATAACGAAATAAAAAAAAGTGAACTTATGAATAAAAAGCAGAAAAAAAGTAAAAGCAAAAGAAAAAAATTGAGTCTAAGCAACTGGAAACTGTTCTACTAAAAAACCATCGAGGAAACCTTCCCATTTATGAAACCGATGCTTAGGCAAGGCTGGCAGAAAATAATGTAGAGAGCTCCCAGAAAATAATGTAGAGAGCTGAGAGCTCCCAACCGTGCCTAAGTATCAGCTTAATAAATAAGAAGCCTCTTACTGAAGAACAGTTTTTGTAAGATAACTTCCACTCATAAATTTCTGCTGTGGTATAAGCTCCTTATTTTTTTTTTTGCTCTTGCTTTCTCAATTTTTATTTGCTTTTGCTTTCTTTAGCTTTTATTCATATAGGTTCCGATTTTTTGATTTCGCTTTTTTTACCTTTTTTTCCACAAATTCAGGTTTATTTTTTAATTTATTTTTTTTTTTTGTTTTGTACTACTGTGTTGTCTTTCCCTCTTTACTGCTGTTTGCAATTTTTGCCTCGACTTCCTGACTTGTATCCTCATTCTCCTTCTTTACTCGGTCCCAAAATCCTGTCTGCAAAACAACATCTGAGTTCCTTTCCATCCGCACTGCAAGAGCACTCTGGAAACTAGCAATATTTCAGTCCATTCCCTACCTCAGGTATCCGAAGCAAAAACCAGGAGCACACTTCTTCTTTCCCTCCCTTATGTAGCCTAGCCAACCATCGAAGGATCCACTCCATGTAGCCATTCAACTCACCTACTCAACCTCCTCCTCCTGTCTCGAACCCTCGCGCGCAAAACCCGCATACGCCACCCTTCTCAGCCCCACTCCGTCTGCGGCATCCAACGTCCTTTGCCACCGGCTGAGGAAATTTTTCACAAGTCGTGCATGACACCAAGCCGAGGCAAGTCGAGTTATAGTAACTGCCAAATATAATTTATTTTTAGATTTACCAAAAATATAGCCTACTTCGGTGATTTGAGATCACGATGTATGATGCGCTTCTGGTGCAGATAGTTCATGCCATCAGCGATCTGTCGAGCCCACTCCGCAAATTTATCCTTAGCAATATGTCGTCCACTTTTGATCACTTCGTATAATTGTCCCTGGCGACAGTACTCCATTACTATGCAATAGCATGGCGACTGAGTACATACACCTCTAGAAATAAAAAAAAAAATAATTTGTAACAACAGTACAGTCGCGTCGTATTGACGAGGTTCAGTTGTGGTGCTGAAAAAGGAGTGGATAAGATTTGATGCGCCGGAACATTTCTTTTGATTTTTCCTTTCTTCCTCTCTATTTTATTAAATTTCCTTACAAATCACACACAAAAAACACTTTTCCCTTACTGTCTTCATCCTCATGATTTTACTCACTCTTTACTGACTCCAATCTGTTACTAATTTAAAAACATTCTTTGTTTACTGAACAGTAACATGAAGGAGAGGCAAAGTTTCAGGGTAGAGAGGCGCGACGTTTAGCTTCGTTGCTGCTCTGTTCATGCCGCATGCTTTCTAATGTTTCCGTATTCTCAGTACTGTATCGAGTGCGCTAGCTGTTATTAACATTATTTTTCAATCATCATTATCATTATTACCATTACTATCATTATTATTACTGTGGCTGTTACTACTATCGTTACCACTATTATT